AGAACTTTGTATTTTGCTTGATGCTAAAGTGTAGAATTACATCTCTATTTATAGTACTCTAAGGAGAACTCTAGACACACTAATTCTAGAGAGTTCTCAACTCTAAGAATTCCAAGAGCATAATAGAGAATACTACAACCTTAAGAAATATCTAGACACTCCAAACATTACAAGAGTTTTCTAGAAACATTAATTAAAATTACCTAAGTCCAAAAAAACTAAGCCCAAAAATCCAAATAATATTTTAGGCCCAAATCAAGTTTAATCTTTCAACATCCCCCCTTAAACTTGATTTGTGACTCCAAGCATACTCCTTAGCTTTATGAACGTTTCCAACTTGAGTGGCTTGGTGAAAATGTCGGCAGCATGATCTCGAGACATCACATACTTCAACCTCACATCCTTCTTCTCGATGCATTCTCTTATAAAGTGGTAACGGATGTTGATGTGTTTACTTCTTTCATGAAATACAGAATTCTTTGCCAAAGCAAGTGCTGATTTATTGTCAACACATATTTCCATAGGATCTTCTTGTGGCATTTTTAACTCTTTCAACAAGTTCCTTAGCCAAACTGCATGGCAAACACATGATGTAGCGGCAACATATTCAGCTTCACAAGTTGACAGTGTGATGATAGGTTGTTTCTTTGACATCCAAGTGAAAGTAGTATCTCCCATAAAGAATACAAAACCAGTAGTGCTCTTTCTATCGTCCACGTCTCCACTCCAATCACTATCACTATAGCCAACAATTTCATGATTGTTAGAAGAGTAATAGTGTAAGCCAAAGTTTGTTGTACCTTTGATATATCGAAGGATTCTCTTTGCCACCTTGAGGTGAGTTGTTGTTGGAGCTTCCATGTAACGACTTACGATTCCTACAGCATAGAGAATATCTGGCCTTGTACTTGTCAAGTAACGTAGACTTCCAATCAAACTTTTGTAAAGAGTTGGATCCACAATCTCTCCACTTTCATGCTTACTCAACTTGTTGCCACATTCCATCGGGGTGCCAACTGGATTAGCATCATCCATCTTGAACTTCTTAAAGACTTCTTTTGCATAGCCTTCTTGGGTGATAAAAATTCCTTTGTCTTCTTGCTTTACTTCAATGCCAAGATAATATGCCATGAGGCCCATATCTGTCATCTCAAATTCATTTGACATGTCTTTCTTGAACTCTTTGAACATGCTTAGATTGTTCCCAGTGAAGATCAAGTCATCAACATATAAGCACACGATCAAAATATTTCCACTTTGCGCTTTAATATAGAGTGCATGCTCATATGGACACTTGATGAAGTTCTTATCTCGAAAGTACTTGTCGATTCGAACATTCCAAGCTCTCGGAGCTTGCTTGAGTCCGTACAACGCCTTTTTCAACTTGAGGACTTTTTCTTCTTGCCCTTTTACTTCATATCCTTGTGGTTGCTCGATATAAACTTCTTCTTCGAGAAAACCATTCAAGAAGGCCGACTTCACATCCATTTGATAGATCTTCCATTCATTTTGGGCTGCCAAAGAAATGATTAGTCTAATAGTTTCAAGACGAGAAACGGGGGCAAATACCTCATCATAGTCAATTCCTTGTCTTTGACTATAGCCTTTTGCCACCAGTCTTGCTTTGTATCTTTCAACATCTCCTTTTGCATTCTTCTTCGCCTTGTACACCCATTTTACTCCGATTGCTTTGTGTCCTCGTGGAAGTGTAGTAAGTTCCCACGTATCATTCTTCGTTATTGACTTTATTTCTTCATCCATGGCGTTTTTCCACTTTATGTTTTCAACAGCTTCTTGGTAGCTTAGAGGCTCACAATCACCAAAAAGACAAAAGAGGTTAATGTCATTTTGGTTTTCGGTTACCTCATAAAGCTCTTCAATGCTCCTTAATCGTGGTGTCCTCTCACTTGAGATTGTTTCATCCAACCTTGGTGTCGGTGAGGCAGGTGGTGTAATATGTTCATCTATCATTGGTTGTTCCATTTCATCTTCTTCTTCTTCAAAATAAGGAAGAAAATCATACCTGTCTTCTTGAACACTCCAATCCCAACAATTTTCTTCTTCGAACTCCACGTCACGACTTATGACAATATTTCCGCTATTTGGATTATAGAGCTTGTACCCTTTGGAGCTTGAGTCGTAACCTACAAATACATACTTCTCACTTTTATCATCGAGCTTTGTTCTCCTTTCATCTGGAACGCGGGTATATGCAATGCTTCCAAACACCTTGAGGTGAGAGATCCCTGGCTTTCTTCCACTCCATGCTTCTTGTGGTGTCTTCTCATGCACACTTCTTGTTGGGGAACGGTTTGTCAGGTAAACCGCACATGCCACTGCTTCGGCCCAAAACTCTTTCGGCATCTTCTTACTCTTAAGCATGCTTCGCACCATATTAAGTATGGTCCGGTTCTTTCTCTCCACTACTCCATTTTGTTGTGGCGATCTTGGCACTGTTAGTAAGCGGCGGATCCCATGCTCTTCACAATATTTGTTGAACTCATTTGAAGTAAACTCGCCTCCTTGGTCAGATCTCATAGCCTTAATAGAAAGACCACTTTCTTTCTCCACAAGGGCTTTGAACTTCTTAAAGTTTTCAAACACTTCTGACTTCTCCTTCAAGAAATAAACCCACGTTTTTCTAGAATAATCATCAATAAATAGGAGAAAGTATTTATTCTTACCAAAAGAGTTTGGATTGATTGGTCCACAGACATCAGTGTGTATGAGCTCTAGTGGTTTTGTCGCTCTTGATGTTGATTCCTTTGGAAAGCTTTTTCGGAATTGCTTCCCAATTAGACATCCTTCACATAATTGGTCTGGATGGTTTATACTAGGCAAGCCTCTCACCATCTCCTTCTTTGACAAACATTCTAGACTACCGAAGTTGAGGTGTCCAAATCGTAGATGCCATAGCCACGAAGAGTCGGTATAGCAGGCCTTGAGACACTTTGCCACATCATTTTGAATGTTCAAGAGGAACATTCTATTCTTTGACATATGCACCTTAGCGATCAATTTATGCTCACAATCTCTTAAGAAAAGACTATGTTCTTTCAAGTGGATGTCATATCCTTTCTCCAATAATTGTCCCAAGCTCAAAATATTATTTTTCATGTTAGGAACATAGTAGACATTGGATATGAATTGATGACTCCCATTCTTTAAGCGTATGAGAATTTTACTTTTGCCTTTGACCGGTATCTTTGAGTCATCTCCAAATGAGACATTTCCAGTTGTCGCTTCATTGATCTCTATGAACATGCTTCGATCGCCGCACATGTGGTTGCTTGCGCCGGTGTCGAGGTACCACTTGTTTCTTTTCTCTTCAAATTGGTTTTGGCACGCGAGCAGCAAAGTTTCTTCTTCTCCACCTTTTTCTTCTACAAAGTTAGCTTTCTCCACAACTTTCTTTGAGAATCTACACTCAGATGCATAGTGACCGATTTTGTTGCAATTGAAGCACTTGATTTGTAACTTGTTGCACCTTGACCATGAATTTCCATTTCCACGACCTCTTGTTGCTTGTGGATTCCAACTTCTTTCTCCATTGTTGAAGTTGTTGGAGTAGTTGTTGTAACTTCCTCTTCTTTCTCCTTCATGTCCTCGTCCACGTCCACGTCCACAGTGTTGGCCACGACCTCGTCCTCTTTGACTCTTGTAATTCACATAATTTTCTTCCTTTGCATTGAGTTGTAGTAGTTGCTCTATAGTCTCCTTTTGTCTAGCTTTTCTCTTTTGTTTTTCTTCGTATGCTTGTAAGGAACCCATAAGTTGCTCAATAGTCATGGTGTTTAAATCCTTATTTTCTTCAATGTTGGTAACAATGAAGTCAAAACTTGGATTTAAAGTGCGAAGTATTTTCTCCATGACTTTCACCTCATCAACATCTTCACCATTTCTTTTAAGTTGATTGACTACGAACAATACTCGAGAAAAATAATCAGAAATTGACACAGACTCTTCCATAAATAAACATTCAAACTCACCTCTAAGAGTTTGAAGACGAATCTTTTTCACCTGTTCCACTCCTTTGTTGCAAGTTTGAAGCTTGTCCCATGCTTCTTTCGCCGTCGTTGCATTGGAGATCTTCTCAAATGTATCTTCATCCACCGATTGATAAATGAGGAAGAGAGCTTTCTTGTCTCTCTTTCTTGACTCCTTTAATGTATCCTTTACACATTGGCTTAAGGAGGCTTCATCTTGCTCCTTGAAGCCTTTCTCAACAATATCCCACACATCTTGAGCTCCTAGTAGCGCCTTCATCTTGATACTCCAATTGTCATAGTTGTTCTTTGTGAGTATCGGAATTTGAAAAGGGAAACCTCCATTCGCCATCTTCTGAGGACCTTCAAGCTCTGATGCCACTTTGTTGGAAATAAGACCTTTTGTGTTTAGGAAAAATGTGTGGGAATATTAGAGGCTTAAAGAGAAACTTGGTAGGTGGAAGAATTATTTATGGAAGAGAGAACTTTGTATTTTGCTTGATGCTAAAGTGTAGAATTACATCTCTATTTATAGTACTCTAAGGAGAACTCTAGACACACTAATTCTAGAGAGTTCTCAACTCTAAGAATTCCAAGAGCATTATAGAGAATACTACAACCTTAAGAAATATCTAGACACTCCAAACATTACAAGAGTTTTCTAGAAACATTAATTAAAATTACCTAAGTCCAAAAAAACTAAGCCCAAAAATCCAAATAATATTTTAGGCCCAAATCAAGTTTAATCTTTCAACATTTGAAGTACTGCTACACCTGCTTTATAATTTCAGCAACAACATCTGGCGGCGGGTTCCAATTATCACTATGTCGTTTTTTATTCCGCCATATCCATATAGCATGGCAAGCCACTACCCAAACAGTCAACCAATCCTTGAACTTAGGATTCAAACTTTGAGTCAAATTTAGAAGGAGCCACTCACTAAAATCTGTTTGATAGAAAATCAGCTTGTTAATGTTACTAACAAGCTAAGGCCAAATCGATCTACCCAAGCCTCAATCATGCAACGCATGAAAAGAGGACTCCTCATGCTGTCTGTAGTAATCAAAATAGCGGTCCCATATTTGCAGGTGCCCCAGAACCTGATTAGTAGGAAGCCTATTATGGCACATCTTCCAAATAAAGAACCTGATACACTCTGGAATTTTAATCTTCCAAAGAAATTTCCACTCTAAACTGACATCAGTGACTTTATTAATATCAACAGATGAGAGATGAGTATACATCAAGGCTATCAAAAAAGTCCCACCAGCTGTATCACTCCACAACCGCACATTTTTAATCTCAGAGTTGTAACTCAGAGGGGGAATAACCTTGAGTTTCTGAAGTGAATTGTGATCTTCAATATCCTCTATCATCTGCCAATTCCACTAACCTTATCTAGTCACCATCTGGCTCACAGTAAAATTAGAAGTGATCCTACTATGTTGGTTACCCACCATCGAATTCAAATACAACCCTAGCGTGATCCGTGCATCATCCAAAAATCTGACATTCTTACCATTCCATAATTCCCAATAAGTCTTACTCTCCAATTGCGACCACAAATTAGAAAGTTGCTTCCAAAGGCTCGAATATGAATCCTTCGCACTCTCTGGCTCCAGCTGAAATCTGTGCGATATATATTTTCTTCTCAAAACCTCACACCACAATGCTTGATTCCCACACAACAAACACCAACTAAGTTTGGCCAGACAAGCTTGGTTCATAAGCTCAAGCTTCCTAATTCCTAATCCTCCATACCTATTTTCCATAGCAATTTTACTCCACCGAATTGTATGTAAATGATGCGATTCATCACTGTCATCCGAGATAAAATCCCTATGCATCTGTTGGATCTCCTTAAGACAAGCCTTTGGAATAGTAGGGGTCATCATACAATACGTAGGCAGAGCTTCTATCACAGTTATGGCAAGAGTTACACGCCCAACAAAGGAAAGTTGATTCATTTCCAATTCGACAATCTTTTCTGAACCTTCTCGATCAAATACTTGTAATCTTTAATTCTGGGACATTAACCCGTAAGATTTACTCCGAGATAAGTTTCCAAAACCTTTGTTTCCTTGAACCCAACCTTATTAAGAATACGTCGCCTTGTCACTTTACTCGTGTTCCTCGAAAAAGTGATATTGGATTTCTCCGTACTCACCCTTTTCCCCGATAGATGACAAAAGTTCATGAGAATGTTTAGCACTATATCAATATGTGTCTTCGTAGCAGCCCCAAAGAGGATTAAGTTGTTCACGAACATAAGATGCGAAACACTAGGCCCACCTTGACCAATCTTCATATAATCCAACTGCTTCTTATCAACCGAATCTAATATCATATGAGAAAGCTTGTTAGTGGAAAGAACAAAAAGATACGGAGACAAAGGATCTCCTTGTCTAATACCTTTCTTGGCCTGGAAGTACTCACCTTTCTCTCCTTTCCACTAAACCCTCATTTTATTTGTGGAAATATCATTCATAATATGACCTTTCGTAACCTCTGGAAACTTTTCTTCTACAAGCATTTTCTCCACAAGAACCAGCTCATATTGTCGTAGACTTTACCAAGGTCAAGCTTCAGGGTAAAGTATCCTTTTTGACCTTTAAGCCGATTCATGCTATGTAAAATCTCTTGCGCCACCATAATTTTCTATTGAATATTCCTCTTTGGATTAAAGCTGGTTTGATTCGAAGTAATCAGGGTATTCATGATAGGCTTCAGCCTATTGACAATTATTTTTCTAAACAACTTGTAGATCATATTACACAAGGCAATAGATTTGAATTGATGCACTGTTTGAGGGCTGTAAGTTTTAGGTATAAGACAAATATCCGTGTTATTAATCTCCGCTACACTAGTTTCTTGTCTCCAAAGACTTTTGATAAAAAGACATACCGCATCTCCAGTAATTTCCCAGGTATTCTGATAGAAACTAGTCGGAAAACCATCAGTCCCAGGAGAATTCCATGTTGCCCTATCAAACAACACCTTTTCAACCTCATAATTGTTGATGTCAGCCTCAAGTCATCTTTTATGTCGTCTAGCCATGTTTGGAAAAATATGCTTCATATGAACCCAAAAAGCACTGCTAATATCCTCAGTATACAACTTTCGAAAATTGGAATTGAACATATCTCTAATTTTCCTTGTATCCTCAACCCAATTCCCTTTTTCATCCTTGATAACATTAACCACCTTTTTACGCCGCTGTTGCACAACTTTAGTATGATATAAGTCGGTATTCCTATCTCCATCAATAATCCATTGAACCTTATCCCTTTGAAACCACATCAGCTCCTTCTGGTATAAGATTCGATAAAGGTCTTATTGAAGTTGCTTCTCAAATTTCTGCTGTCCAGCAAGATCCCTACCTCGCTGCATAATATGTTGAACTCCATTAATTCTCTGTACCAGCTTTTTTTTTTCTTTTTTTTTAACACTTTTGAGTGAATGAAGTTTCCACTGCTTAACATCCTTCCTGAACTTCATCAGATTGTCCACCAACTATTACAGAAATTCTGTATTTCTTATTGAGCGTGTACATAATAGAATAGGATATATATAACCTAAGGAGTACAAGTAACTAAAGAAACTAATTAACTCAAATTAATCCCTATATACAAGAATGGAAATATTCTATATGGATGCGTAAATAAGTAAAATGTATTCATATAATACATCTATAAAATCTGCATTAATGTCCCTTATTAATGGCTGCATATCTGTGCCTTAATGGTTTCAGATCAGCAGCCAACACTCCCCCTCAAGTTGGGTCATAGATGTCTATCATGCCCAACTTGAATCTTAAGTTTTCATAGTTGGTTCTAGGAAGTGCCTTGGTCAAGATATCAGCTATTTGATGACTTGAGGGTGTGTGCTGAAGAGAAGTTAATCTGTTGTCAATCTTCTCCTTGATAAAATGTTATCAATTTCTACATGCTTTGTCCTGTCGTGTTGCACAAGATTTTTAGCAATACTTATGGCAGCTTTGTTGTCACACAATAGACTTACTTCATGGTAAGTATTAACTTGTAGTTTCGCAAGCATCCTTTAGAGCCATATCCCTTTACAAATTCCATGAGCCATTAACCTAAATTCTGCTTCAGCACTGCTTCTTGCAACCATAGATTGCTTCCTGCTTGTGTCCTTTTTGAAATGCAGCCCCCTTCCTTGGTGCCTTTTTAAGATACTGTAGAATACAATTAACTGCTTTCATGTGAGTCTCTTTGGGATCGTTCATGTAGCGGCTAGCCATGCTGACAGAAAAACCAATGTCTAGCCGTGTATGGGTTAGGTAGATAAGTCTCCCAACCAGTCTTTGATGCATCTCTTTATCAACTGGTGGACTCTCTTTTTCCTCTCCTATTTTCACATTAGATTTCATAGGAGTGTCTGCTGGCCGGAATCCTAACATCCCTATTTCTTGAAGTAAATCAAGAGTATATTTGCTTTAAGACAAATAAATTCCAAATTTTGATTGTGCCACTTCCATTCCAAGAAAATACCTTAACTAACCAAGATCTTTAACTTCAAATTCCTTAGCTAGTAACAATTTTAACCCTTCAATTCCAGTACAGTTATCACCTGTAATAATAATGTCGTCTACATAAACAATTAAAATGGTTACCTTGCCTTCCTTCGAATGCTTTAAGAACATTGTGTGGTCTGTTTAGCATTGAGTGAAACCATACATCCTAACCACTCATGTAAGCCTATCAAACCAAGCCCGTGGGGATTGCTTGAGCCCGTATAGTGATCTTTTAAGCTTACATACCTTTCCCGAGTTTTCTGACGTATCAAGTCCAGGTGGTATTCTCATGTAAACATCTTCTTCAAGTTCACCAATTAGGAAAGAATTTTTTATATCTAGATGATGAAATGGCCAATCCAAATTTACTGCCAAGGAAAGAAAAACATGGACTGAGTTTAATTTTGCTACAGGTGCAAAGGTCTCTTCATAATCCATCCCATAAGACTGAGTGAATCCTTTTGCCACCAATCGAGCTTTATACCTGTTCACACTCCCGTCCACATTATATTTCACCGAGAATACCCATTTGCATCCAACTAGCTTCTTTCCATCTAGAAGGTGACAAAGCTACCATGTACCATTCTTTTCTAGTGCCTTGATTTCTTCCACAACCATAACTATCCACTCTGGAACTAGGATAGCTTCATGGAAATTTTGAGGAATGTGGGTGTTGTCCACTGAGTTGATAAAATTCTTGTACTCCTGCGACAATTTTTCACTAGAAACATGGTTCCCAATTGGATGTTTGGTACAAGACATCACTCCCTTTATTATGGAAATAGGTAAGTTTAAGTTCGGGTCATAAGTGTCATTATCCAATAAATTAGAAGATGAGTCAATGCATGGTAATTTACCTTTGTGAGTAGGTTCAGAATTTGAATTTTGGGCAGAGCCTTGGTTCTGCTTCGGAAGAGTGCATGTTTCTACTTCCTTAAGAGTTTTAAGCTTGTTTTTCTTCCTTGTGTATACTTGTACTTGTTTTCTTCCATTTGTTTTCTTAGTAACATCAAGAGTGGTTGCTTGCTGGTCCAATTCAAGTTCAACTATTATTTGGGCAGATTCTGAATTTTTAGTGGTTGAGCCAAGTTTCGTTGGGTTATATTTTGGGACAGATTCTGGTACAGTGTCTGGAACGGTTTCTGGGATAGATTCGAGTACATTTTCTGGAATGGTTTTTGGGACAGATTCGGGTACATTTTCTGGAATGGTTTATGGGACAGATTGCGGGACATATTTTGGCATAATAATTTCCCAAGGTTGGTGTTCATCAATTGTCACTTTCTCCCCCTGAATGACAACCTTGGAATAAAAGGCATTCCCTTCATAAAATGTGACATCTATAGTGTGATAGATTCGTCTTTTCTGAGGACAATAACATTTATATCCTTTCTTGGCAGGAGAGTATCCCAAAAATATACATTTGATGGCTTTTGGGTCCAACTTGTTGGGATTTGGTTTTTGATTATGTACAAATGCAGTACATCCAAAAATCTTTGGTGGGAGATTTGTGACGAGTTTAGTCGAAGGATAAAAGGACAAGAGGGTTTGGTGAGGTGTGTTTAGGTTGAGTATTTTAGAGGGCATTCTATTTATTAGGTATGATGAAGAAAGAACTGCATCTCCCCAAAAATGGCTAGGTACGTTCATGGACAACATAAGGGCTCGAGTGACTTCTAATAGGTGTTTATTTTTCCTCTCTGCTGTTCCATTTTGTTGGGAAAATATGGACAGGAAGTTTGGTGTACAATCCCATTTTTGGCAAGGTACGTACCAAGGGTGTCATGGAAGTACTCCTCTCCATTATCAGTTCTTAGGATTTGAATGTTAAGAAATGTGGTTGGGCCTAACTCAACCCAACAAAACTGGTTGGTAGAGTGAGGATTTCCCCCACTTATAAACACATGTTCATGCCATATATTATCTGCTGTGGAACTCTTAGCACACCCCCTCACGCTCAGGACTGGGCAACTGAAGTATGAAAATAAATGGTGGGTGGCCCGATACTAGAAACCATAGAAGGTGGCCCATCGGATCTTAAACGAGGCTTTGATACCATGTAGAAATTATGTATTTCTTATTGAGTTTGTACATAATAGAATAGGATATATATAACCTAGGGAGTATAAGTAACTAAAGAAACTAATTAACTCAAATTAATCTGTATATACAAGAATGGAAATATTCTATATGGCTACGTAAATAAGTATAAATGTATTCATATAATACAACTATAAAATCTGCATTGTTATCCCTTATTAATGGCTGCATATTTGTGTCTTAATGGTTTCAGATCAACAACCAACAACTATTACTCTCATGCCAATAACTTATAAGTAATTATTCAAAGGTTTTGTCTACCAACCAGGCACTTTCGAACCTAAAATCATAACTCCACCTACACAACTCCTGATCCTTAAGACAGATGAAAATGGGACGATGATCGAAATAGTTCAACCTATGTAAAAATTGCACCTGAGCCTCCAAATACATAGTTCTCCACAGATTGTTACATAGACCCCGATCTAATTTTTCAAACACTCATCTACTGCCTTGAACCAACGGTCCTTTCCAAGTATACTTAAAGCCGGTAGATCTAGGGTCCCTAAGCGAGCACTTATTGATCCTTTCTTAAAAACGGTTGCATCTACTACTTCTTGCTGCAACACCTCCTCTTTTCTCATTCATTTGCAGAATGTCATTGAAATCACCCGCCACCAACCACCTATTGCGCATAACTTGACCAAAAGGCTCAATTTCCTTCCACAAGAGTTTCTTATTATCCTCCTTAGGACTAGAATTACCTGCAGTTAAAAACCATCTATGTTCGCCCACCGTATGAACATGCACATGAATGAATTAGAAGTGAATCTTCAGAATTTGCAGCTGCACCTTATCCGCCTTCCAACTAAAAGTTATTCCACCAGCAAAACCTTGAACTTGAAAATAAGCAAAGCCAGTGAAACCCAATTTCTCAAAAGACTTTTGAAGATTCCCTGAACCTGGTCGGGTCTCCATGATACACAAAATGTCAGGTTGTCTCTCTTTTACATACTCATTTCACATGCGAAAAAAAGGCTTTTTTACCGCCCCCATACAATCCCAAAACAAACACGATAATTGATCACATGCAGGTATGTCCAGCACCACCTCAGATTCTTCATATCTCTCCTGAGAGGCAACAATATCCTCACTATCCATTATAGTAGTTGTACCGAGATTATCGGATAAGTTGATTTGTGCGTCAAGCGGGTCAGGTACCTTTACTTCACCTTGGGCCCTAAGAAATTTAGGTACCAACTTATAAAGCTCATTCTGCATTCCATGAAGTCCTTCATCTATGGTCTCCTTGCACATAGGCTACTTGCCTAACCCATCTCCACATTTGCCTTAATTTTCCCAAGCTTTGCCGTAATTTTTTCCTCGCACCCCCATTACTCTTCTCTTTACTTATGCCTTGAGACATAATCTCCAATATTTTAGCAAAATTTTCACCCTTCAATTTTCTCGCCTTCTCAGTTTTTGTTCTTTGTGCCTTATCCAAATGCGTTTGCTCCGCCTAGTGGGCAACGATATTATTACTTACATGTTGCAATTTTGTACCTTCCGTCAAATTATCTGTAGCCTTTTCCTACTGGTGATCTTGTTTGAATTTACTATTTTGTCGCTCCTCTATCACATCTTCCTCCTCAATTTCTTCCTCCACCAACACCGTAAATCTTGATCCTTTACCCTTATTAGCTATCTTCGCACCAGCAATCAACCTTGAATTTGCATTGCCCTTACTAGAGTCATTCTTTCATCGTCTCGATTTTTGCACTACCTGCTAAGGACCTTTGATAATTGTCTGCATATTAGTAGTTGATGAAACGCCTTCCACATTGAGGCTTCCTAGCTCCTGATTCTCTTCCTTCCCCAAATTAGAAACCGGTTTATCCGATCAGTTTTCAGCATAATGTCCATATTTTTTGCAACTCAAACATAATAAATGTAAACCTTCGTACTCAACTTTGTAGTATCATCCCTTTATCGCAAACATAGCAAGAAGAGATTTAGACAGATCAATTTGGGCACACATCCTCGCATATTTTCCTCTTTCCCGCGTTAGTATATTTTGGTCAACTTTGATAGCTTTTCCAATCCGGTTACCTATAAAAGTGAGAACCTTTTGGTCATAATACTCGATATGCAATCCTGCAATATGAACCTGCACTGCCAATTGTTCCACCACATCATTAGCGGGACAAAAATTTGGTGTCCATTCCCTCACCATGAGATAATGATCGTAAATGAGCCACGACCCTTCCAAGAGGGAAGTTTGATGATCTTCTTCACTTATGAATGTAACAAGATAGTAATCCTGACCCAAGTCCAATATACTCAAGACTCCCTTCCTAGCCCAAAGTTGCTGTAAATGGTTCTCGAGCGCCTTGAATCCACCTTCCCATCATTTTGATGATCACCCTATTCTCCCAAGGTTTCACAATCCATTTTTCTTCCATAATAGAAAGGATATAATTTAGGACACTCATAACCTCCTACCTGATGCTCCTCGATGCATATTTGATTTAGGTCGTATTCATTATCCTCCTCAGCCTTAAAATAAGTCCTCCCTCTTTACTTGTTTTCCATGTGACCATATATTTATACGAAATCTTTTGCTCACCTTGATCCTTCCTTTGAACACTAGCCTCTTATGTCTGCACTTTCTTGCCATTAGTAACTTGAGAATGAGAATTCTCTAGTTCCTTAATTAACTATTTGATCTTGGTCCCCATAACACTGTGCACAAGATTTTCCTCGGGGTCAAGATTCTTTCTTGGAGTTGCCCCTCCATCATCTTCCTTCAGTATTTCTATTCTTCTCCCGCACAACATTGTTCCCTCCCAACTTCGACAAAGAAACCATTTACTCCAGGTGATTCCAGACTCTCAGAGGATCGAAAATCCCCAAGTCGGTGTCTTTCAGGGTGGTTCCAAGTTCTAAGACTAAGAATTTAAACTACAGTGAAGGAAACTTCCGTCCCAGTGAATCCATCACCCTCAAATCAGAACCTTATTGGAGAGCTAACTGAACCCCAATTCCTAATAAGGAACCCTAGCTGAGCTCCAATTTCCAACTATGATTGGTAATTGTTTTTCAAAATTACAACATTAATTCCAAATCATTTATAAACACATAATATAAAACCATTCTATATTTTAAAAAATGTATCATCTATTATAAAATTTATGTTAATCCTGTAAGTTATATTATATTAAAAATAAATTTAATTAATACTCATTAAACCCTGGTCAAATTATTAAACCTTGAACCCTCCCCCGCTTTAGTATTTGGTCCAATTTTAATTACCTTAATTAGTACGTCGTCACATATTCTTAAAAAGAATTAATTATTTTTATGCTATATTTGATTAATATTTATCACATTCTTATAATTATGTGCAAACATAGATTACATAAATAATTATTTACACTTTATTTCAATTTTAAAAAAATTTATTTATACTCACCTATTTTATTAGGAATAAAAGTTTGAGAATGTAAAAGTTATTTTATTTCTATAAATATTTTATATCCAAAAAAATTAATATTTTAGTTTTAAAACAAATATGCGAAATAACTTTTCTTAGACAATAACAAATAACCGTGGTTTTAAATTGCGGTTGCAGCTGTGGTTATGGTTGCAGTTACTGTGGTTGCGGTTATTGTGGTTGTTGCGATGCAAATTATGCTTGTTGTAGTGTGAATTTATTTTTATCAACATAAAATAATATACTTTATTATATGTATTAGGTTTCACATGTGATCTATTATTACATGCTGATGCGGTTTAATGCAGACAAATGCGATTACTACGGTGTTATGATGCGGCCGTTGCAGCGCTATGATGCAATTTTTAATATGATTTACAATCACACCACAATTGCGGTTTAATGCGAATGCAGACACTACCGCAACTGCAATATTACGATATGTGATCTGCAATTTAAAACCATGCAAATAACCTCTATATTTTTAAGACAATGTTTTACAACATAAAAATGAATAAATTTTTAAATGCAAAGATAGATAGATCTTCTATATGTGTAAAAAAGATAGAGAACTAGACTAGTAAATTAAGTATTTAATCCAATATCAAATTTAAAGAAAAACATGCAAAATATGAATACTTCTTCCTCCATTTCCCCGTAAAATATTCCAAATATTTCTCATAAAAATGGTCTTCATGACTTGGCAATTTTTCCAGAATTATTTCCAATCATTCCTACATCGCATTCTTCATTGTTCCTACCTCTCCAATCTCTTCAAGATCTTCAATCAAAACCATTCAAATCTATTCAACCTACCTTTTCATTTCAATTTCTATTTCTAATCACTCTCTTATCCTAACTAATTCATTGCAATGGCGGAATCCCCCGGCAAGGGATCTAAAAAGAAAGTCGCAGCTTTGGAACGTGAGCGAGATGATCTAGCAAATGTGAACACACGGAAGAACGAGGAGATCAATAAAATGAAGGAAGAGATTGAGAAATTACGTAAGGATTCGGAGGATTCGACGGTAGAGCTGGAGGTGGAAACTGCGAGGCTTCATAAAGAAGTGGTGGAATCAAAGGTAGAGGCAGAGAAACTAAGGAAGATTCTAGAAGAGAAAGAAAATAAGATTGAGATGATTGAAAAAGAAGGAAAAGAGTTGAGACAAGAGAATGGTGAGATGGAAATGAAGGTTAGGGAATTGGAGAGGAAAATTGGAGTTAGTGAAATGAAAGAAGCTGAAAAGAATAGTAAGAGAGTTAGGGTTGAGGAAGAGATGAAGGAAAAAGTTGATGAAAAAAATAAGAAGGTTGAGGAATTGGAGAATGTTGTTAGAAAGAGAAATTTTTGAGTTAGAAAAATGGTTAAAAGAGAATAGGAATTTGGAAGAGAAAGTTAGGGTTTTGGAATTTAGTTTAATGAATATGAATGTGAAGGAGAATGGGATGGAGATAAGTTGGCCTGTTGTGGCAGCTGGGTCTATAGGAGGGACTGCTATGGTGGCTGTTTTGATACGTTTCTTATTTGGGAAAAAGATATGAGATAGTGTTTATGATAGTGAATGATTCAATTTCAATGGAATGATGAATAATTTTTCTTTTGGGATTTCTAATTATGATTCAAATTTCAATGGAATGATTCAATTTTGTAGCTTTAGAATGCTTATTTTGTTATATTGTATTTGGAGCTATGTATTTTGTTTTGTTTCTTTGTTACTTGTTTTGTTTTTAGTTTCTAGGTGATTTTGCATGGAGAAAATTAAACCATTTTTTTGTGTGATTAACACTCAATATTAATAGGATTTTATTATGTGTATGTATTATGGTTATTAGCATTAGCATATGTCAATATTGATATTGCTATTTTTATATTAACAAACAAAATTTGGTTAATTTACGCCGCAATGATCACAATCAATATCATATACTTGTATTGACCTAAATCTTAAAAGTCACGACTCTTTTAAACCATGCTAATGCTAAATGGTAAGAATTTTGTATTTAACAAATTTCCAAAAGAATGTATATTTGTCTTGATATTAGTGGTGAAACTAAAAGTTAAGTCATACTTATAAGTGATTGGATACTGTAGTTATTGTTGTTACATATATAACCTTTTTCTTTTGTTGTATATCGTCTACAACGTATTTATAATGGAGAATGGTCACAAACTCAAACAAGATAATGATGTCACTAAGAGAACTTTAAGCTGGAAGGGAGCAGAGAATCCTTGGAAGCGGATAGGAAGAGAAGGGGTAATCGTAGAATCAACAAGGGAGCTCATTGGGATAATAAGTAATCAGAATGGTCTAGGAGCTTTTACTTAGAGAAAACAAGAATTTTTCATTCATTTTTCCACGACAGTTGCAGAGCAAGAGCAAAGAAGGTGCATGAAGTCTTTGGGGGAGTGGATTCAGTGCCTTTACTATTGAGTCCCTTTGTAACTTTATGCTTATTTATAAAATAAAAGAACTATTAAAATATAATTTCTTGAGAGAGAATGGTTGGATTAGAGAGATATACGATAGATCTCTTCATAACCTTATTATTTCTATCCATATAGAAATCAAGAACATAATTCTAAAATAATCCTTAAGAGTCTATATACCATCAACTTGTATCCCTTAAACCCATATTAGAATTCAATCAGAAAATAAAAGCGGAAGCGTACCTGAATTTGTCATTAAAATCATTGAAGGTTGCAGGTATGTGATCTTCCAATTTGTAGAGTTTCTTAGAGTTTCTTAAATCTCTTTTGATGGAGATGAAGAGAGAAAACATGATAAACTGTATTTTGATTGTTCTCTAGAAATGTGGACCATAACCCATTTAAATAATCCTAGGGTTACTTCTTAGTTTTCAATATTTTAATTTGGCCACTCATGAAATTAGATATTGACTTTTCATGACATTTATACTTTTAGCCACAAAATTAATATTATATTAATTAAACCCCTTTAAGTCTTGACTAATTAAAATAATAGCACTAACACCTTAAATGTTACATTTGTGACATTCTAATAATCTCCCATTGGTCACATATGTAACTTTACATGCGTGTTAGACTTTATGAGCTCAAAATTTACCATTACATACTACAAGCATATCCAAATTATCTTGTCCATTGATCATGCCACTATTCAGAACCAAGGTGATTTTTGTTATATCAATCATAACTAAATCCATCAATGATCACCGATAGTGATACAACTAAATGACATAGATCCATCATGAAATGTATAGCATGAAAATCACATGAAGTTGGTGTGTATATATCGATTTTCAATTGATCATACTTTAATTTAGTGATATCGTTCAATAACTTTATTGTACAAAAAGTAAATTGCTAAGTATATAAATTTATTAATTTTAAAAACATCGAAAATTATAGTATGCATACATAATACCAAACACAAAAAATAAAATTCATAATTGACTAACTCTCACTTAACCAAAGACTCCTCTAACGATAAAACACCCATGTGAGCAGTGTGCTCATGAATGAGCTTAGTTGGAAGACCTTTTGTAAGAGGATCTGCTATCATGGAGTTTGTCCCCAAGTGTTCTATGGAAATCTGTCCACTTTGTACCCTTTCCTTAACAACTAGGAACTTGATGTCAATATGTTTTGACTTAGTCGAGCTCCTATTATTGTTGGATAAAGGATGTCGCGCTGATTTGTTGTCATAATATAACTTAATTGGCCTTTCAATTCCTTCCACAATTCTCAGCCCAATGACAAGATTCCTAAGCCAAATCTCATGGTTGGATGCCTCATAACATGCTATAAACTCTGCTGCCATGGTGGATGAAGCCGTAAGAGTTTTCTTAGCACTGCGCCAAGAAACTGCACCACCAACCAAAATGTAAATATAACCTAAAGTGGATATTTTACTGTCTTGGCATCCAGCAAAATCTGAGTCAGAATATCCAGTGATCTTTAACTGGTCTGACCTATATGTGACCATATAGTCTTTTGTTCTCTTTAAATACCTCATAACCTTTTTGGTTGCTTTCCAATGATTCATTCCTAGATTGCTCAAGTATCTTCCTAACATTCCAACTATGAATGCAATATGCGAATGCGTACACATTTGGGCATACATCAGACTCCCTACTGCTGACGCATAATGAATCTTTTACATTTTTTGAATTTGTAAGTTTCCTTTTCACTAATTGAGGCTAAATTTGTTTCCCTTAGCAATTGGAGTATCTCCTGATTTACATTCCTTCATGCCAAATCCTTTAAGTACCTTTTCGATATAGCTCCTTTATGATAATCATAGAATACCAGAAGATCAATCTTGATGTATATGAAATCCTAATAAAAATGAGGAGTCACCAAGATCTTTCATTTCAATTTTTTTTTGACAGAAATTTCTTAGTTCCGTGCATCATGCCTATATCATTAGCAGCAAGTAGTATGTCATCGACATACAAGACACGGAAAATGTACTTGCTTCTATTGAATTTGTGATACACACAATATTCAACAACATTCACCTCAAAACTAAACAAGAGAATTACTTCATGAAACTTGTGGTACCACTGACGAGACACATGCTTTAGTCCCTAAATGGATTTTGTCAATTTGAAAACCATATTCTTCGAGTCTCCCGACACAAAGTTTTCTGGTTGCACCATATAGATCGTTTCATCAATGTTGTCATTGAGGAATGTCGTCTTGACATCCATTTGATGGAGTTCCAGATCCTAATGTGCAATAAGAGCCATGATTGTCCTAAAAGAGTATTTCGATGAAACCGAAGAGAAAGTCTTTTTAAAGTCATTCCCTTCCTTTTGAGTATAACCCTTAGATATAAGACGAACTTTATACCTCTCCACATTACCATTAGAATCCCGCTTGGTCTTGAAAATCCATTTGCAACAAATGGGTTTCACACCTTCTGGTAATAGGACAAATTCCCAAACTTTATTGTCTTGCATGGACTTATACTCCTCCTTCATTTCTTCAATCCTTTTTTTCGAGTTGGAATCTTGTATGGCTTGATGGAAGTTGATTGGATCATCTTCCATCATACCATGATTTTCCTCATGCTCTTGAAGAAAGATTATGTAATAATCGGAATAGAATTTCTCCTTTCTCTAGTAGATCTCCGTAAAGGTATTGGTTCTTGTAAGACTTATTCTTGAGTATCTTGAGTTTCATCATCATGAATTACCAAATCATATTGAGTTGGAAGAATTTCAACAATTCTCGTTTTTGATGTATATGAAATCCTAATAAAAATGAGGTGTCACCAAGATCTTTCATTTCAAATTTTTTTTGACAAAAATTTCTTGGTTCCGTGCATCATGCCTATATCATTAGCAGCAAGTAGTATGTCATCGACATACAAGACACGGAAAATGTACTTGCTCCTATTGAATTTGTGATACACACAATATTCAACAACATTCACCTCAAAACTAAATAAGAGAATTACTTCATGAAACTTGTGGTACCACTGACGAGACGCATGCTTTAGTCCATAAATGGATTTTGTCAATTTGAAAACCATATTCTTCGAGTCTCCCGACACAAAGTTTTCTGGTTGCACCATATAGATTGTTTCATCAATGTTGTCATTGAGGAATGTCGTCTTGACATCCATTTGATGGAGTTCCAGATCCTAATGTGCAATAAGAGCCATGATTGTCCTAAAATAGTATTTTGATGAAACCGAAGAGAAAGTCTTTTTAAAGTCATTCCCTTCCTTTTGAGTATAACCCTTAGATATAAGACGAACTTTATACCTCTCCACATTACCATTAAAATCCCGCTTGGTCTTGAAAATCCATTTGCAACAAATGGGTTTCACACCTTCTGGTAATAGGACAAATTCCCAAACTTTATTGTCTTGCATGGACTTATACTCCTCCTTCATTTCTTCAATCCTTTTTTTCGAGTTGGAATCTTGTATGGCTTGATGGAAGTTGATTGGATCATCTTCCATCATACCATGATTTTCCTCATGCTCTTGAAGAAAGATTATGTAATAATCGGAATAGAATTTCTCCTTTCTCTAGTAGATCTCCGCAAAGGTATTGGTTCTTGTAAGACTTATTCTTGAGTATCTTGAGTTTCATCATCATGAATTACCAAATCATATTGAGTTGGAAGAATTTCAACAATTTTCGTTCTTGATGTATATGAAATCCTAATAAAAATGAGGTGTCACCAAGATCTTTCATTTCAAATTTTTTTTGACAAAAATTTCTTGGTTCCGTGCATCATGCCTATATCATTAGCAGCAAGTAGTATGTCATCGACATACAAGACACGGAAAATGTACTTGCTCCTATTGAATTTGTGATAAACACAATATTCAACAACATTCACCTCAAAACT